CAATTGGTAGATTTCTTAAGCTTTGATAGAGAATAAATAATTAAAAAGAAGGTCCAAGTTTTTTTTCATTTGTATTTGTTATAATACCTAGTGACGGGACGAACAAGACGTGCGCCTGGTGGTAAGCGACAAGTCTGTCCATAACAGTTGCAGTGCCACTCTGTGCTTTATATCGCAAACCACTTAGAGGCACTGTCTCTGCGTCCGTCACCCTGAGACATAAGTTGTCAAGTCCCATGTGCCTGTAATTTCATCAGCACCCTTACCGTTCTAAACCGGAACGCAGTGATGCTCACATTACTGCTTGACAGCCGAAATACGTACAGTGGTAGCACTTCGTTGCGATGAATTCTTTCACAAGGATCTCTAGTGCTAGTAAAATATCATATTTTTTAATTTTATTTTGTGAAAATACTTAACAAAGTTCGAACAAACCCAAAGAATAAAAATTTCTTCGATCCGCCTAAACTGCAACTAGCGACCTCACCATACCAGGGCTATTGCTCTCCCAACTAAGCGTTTTTTTTAATAATATAATATCAAGTAACGGGACGAACATGTCGTGCGCCTGATAGTAAGCTACACGTCTGTCCATAACAGTTGCACTGCCACTCTTCAAATCGCAAATATCTGACGGGTACTGCTACTGCCCCCGTCAACCGGAGACATAAATTGACAAGTCCCATGTGTCTGTAATTTCACCACTGACAGAACGAGTCAGTAGACATTACTAACTCCTCTATCTACTTCGAAGATCTTCGTTTTACGTTTTAACAACTTTTTTTTGCCGTAAATAACTGTGAGACATCTATGCAAGTTCTTTACAACATACCAATTACATTTTTCATTTCATTAATACAATTTTTGTTTAAATTTTATACTTTATCCGCTTACGCGATGCAAGCAGCCGTGGATGCATGTTGTCACAGAGCGTTGCGCGATTCGTGCGTCACTGGAAGCATAGCACACCTAGAGGTGCCGGTGATGATTTTATACCGATTTATCCGATATCGAAGTTATAACAGGTAAAAGAACTAATATTAATTGCTATTTCGGTAACTACTCTAGCAAACCACAAAGTTTTTAAGGGCCGAATAGGTGGGGATAGCGCATCGCGTGAGCGGATAAACACAAGACCAGTGCTGTGTAACTATTTGACCTATTGCTAAGAATTGACTATTTTAGATAAGGACAGAATGTTGTTATCGTTATTTATTTGAACTACACAATTATAAAATAACGCACACAAATAAATAACGCACACACTCAACATAGCCCCGCATTAGGGAAACCCTGTGTCGCGGGTACCATGGACACACGCATAGACAACCACAAATTACACCCAAACTCACGAGAGAAATAATTGTAGGCCATACAACTATTTCTCTCGGCCCGGGAATCGAACCTGGGACCTCTGCGTGGCGGTCCGGCATGGTAACCGTTCGGCCACGGAGGCAGTTAATTATAACTATAATATGTTATTTTAGTAGCAAGAGGGCTCCTTGTGAAAGAGTTCGTCCAGGGAAGTAGGTACTGCCACCTTACCTATTTCTGTATTTCCAAAATCATTTTTAAAACAATGGATGTTAAGCCTTTTTTTGGCGCTTAAAATATTTTTGCTCTATCTAAGATTTTTGAGGCTTTCATACCGACACTTGAAAGGCAAAATGGGATAAGCGACACTTTTGGTCATATTGGTTTATGTGTACCGTTAGAATCAGCTAATGTTTCTGATTCCAGTGTCCAGTTTAGTAGCGGTAGAGCTACTTATGAAAGAGTTCGTCCAGGATAGTACTACCACCTTACCTATTTCTGCCGCCAAGCAGTAATATCAGCATTACTATGTGCCGGTTTTGAAGGGTAAGGGTGCTGGTGAAATTACAGGCACCACTTGTCAACTCATGTGTTAGGGTGACGGGCGCAACGGCCGAGCCTTTCTGATTTAAAGCTCTGAGTAACTCTGCAACTGTTATGGATAGGCGTGTAGCTTACCATTAGGCGCACGACTTGTTCGTCCTGTCACTTGGTCTCATAAAAAAACTATTGTGACAGAAAGAACTTTATGAAAATATTAGAAATAGAAAAACATCTCCTCAAAAGCTATAACACAATAATGTTTTCCTTTTGTTTATTTTTAGAAATACAAAATGCAAGAGGCAATGCATTAATTTTTATTCATTTAACATAAATTGAATTTGTAATGCTAAAGTAAAAATGTTTTGTTTATTTAAATTCCCTCTCAAAAACACTCTAGGGGTCAGATTGTGAATTGCACGTTGTGAAGTGTTAAATACAATCCGTTGCCATGAAAAAAATATCTAATACTAACGCTACAGTTAGGGAGTTTCCATACTAACCGACACAAAACCACATTAAGCTGATCAGAAAGATCTTTATGGCTATGTTATAAGAGCGAAAAAGAACTGCGTTTCGCTCCGACAGTTCGAGCGGAAGCCAAAGCTTTTTCAGCGTAGCTCATGCCGATTCCCATAAATTAACAGAGATGGCCTTGGACAAGCGCCCGGATTTTAACCCGACGCTTTGTTGTTTGTGTTTGTTATTACGGATTAAATCGGGTTAAAATCCATTATGCCCAAACTTCGAAGGCAAAAACTATGTATATATATATTTAAATATCTGTTGTAAATCGAGTATTGTTAAAATTTAATGACGTTTATTGAATCGGTTCACTGGTAAATTGCACTGAAATAAATCGATACAAAAAATCGTTAGATCGTATCGTATCGTAAAAATGGAATCTTAATGTACATCCTTGGTAGCGAGAATCTACAAATTGCAAGGTGGGTATTGTATGGAGTTGCCTCTTTTTCGTCTAAAAATTATATTTTACATCGAAATGTGTAATAAGTATGGAATTATACCGAATTCCGTGTTCGCCGTTTCCATCCCCGATTTTGGGCAGAAATGGAAATGGCAATTTAAACCCGGCTTTGTGGGTAAAAATCCGGTTAAAATCCGGGCGAGTTGATAGTCCATCTCTGTTAATAAATGCAGTGACTCCTTTAGTCAAAAGAGGGACGGCATTTTACTTACGAGATATTAGAAAACAAACATTGACGCTACCGAAACGCTGTGGGTGGATAAATAGTGTGTTTTTGTTTTCTTTTTATTTTCAAAGATGCGTAGGACAAGAAATCTGGATCATTGCCAGAGGAACATTTTCATTCAACAAATAAACTCATTATTTTCATTCACATAACGCTGCTCCTAAATTTATTAATAGGCCAATATTATGCGTGCTCGGTATAGAATGCGATAGTAGCAGTAGAAACACTTTGTGAAAGAGTTCGGTAAGGAAAGTGGATACTGGCACCATGTCTTATTCTGCCACCATACAGTAATGTGAGCATTACTGCTTTGAAAGGTAAGGGTGCTGGTGCAATTATAGGCACATGAGACTTGTTAACTTTACGTCTCAGGGTGACGGGCGCAGTGGTAGTAAAGATGTTTGCAATTAACTGTTATGCACGGGCGTGTCGCTTACCACCACGAGCACGCCTTGTTCGTCCCGTCACTTGACTATCATAAAAAGAATGATGTTTCCGAAATTTAAATTTCTTATTATCATTTGGTTTTTTAAATGAAGAAAAGCGTTGTGACATGCCATGTGACGTTCCTGACGCTTATTGAGTAATGTAGTGAACAATAGCTTAATACCTTCTCCATAGATTCACACACAATGCATGCAATATTTCAGTATTCTGCATTATCATTATCAATTTAAACAGCTTTCAGTAATATCGTTACGTGATAATAAGATTATATAGAAGGTTCGTGCGTATATGTAGAATTATGAACTGCGCAGTTGTACATACGAAACATCATCATCTGTCTCGCTCTCTTATCTAACTTTTACTCGTACTATCTCTGTTTATCGTTAAATTTATTATTATAAATACTCAGATAATGCTATCGTTTTACTTGTTTGTTTAAACCTTTTTTTGCGATAATGTTTTATATAGGTTTACATCACCGTTTTAAATAAATGACGGGTGGTGGTTTTTGGTCATTATTTATTATTAATGTATCGCCTTTAGACAGTTGATTGAAGATATCATTAAGCTGTAGAGAGATTAATGGCTCATTAGATATCTAATATAAATTCATTAGCGTTATGAATTTAGTTCGAAGTTCAAACGGACGAATCACATGTATTTATTATCACGAGAAATACAATTCGAAATTTAAATTACCCAATCACATGAATGCTAGACACTTCGAGACAGGCTTGTGACCAGTTTGACAACAGCATACTGAACTGCATACATATTATAATAATAAGGTCTATAAAATAATAGGACCTACAATGTAATAAGGCCTAAAATAGAGAGGGCCTAATAAAAACAGTAATGTGAAATTTTGTCTGACATTCTTTGCATGATGAACTGGTGAGTCAGTCGATAGTTCTCTTCTGAACGTAGGTCTGTCTGGTACAGTAGATTTATAATCATCGTTTAGCAATCTGTAATATTTCCCGAATTTTTAGAACACCCTCCGAAAACGTTAAACATTCTGGGTGTTATGGTATGCTTTTCGTAAAATTAACATCTCCAAAAATATTTCTAAAATGGCCCTGCAAATCAATTACTGCACGGGTGCTTCGTTTTAGCGCTCACTTCTCGGTAGAATCAATCTTCACGTTTATTTACCTTCTAATGAAGCTATTTTAAGTTTGGTCACAGCCCAACCACATGCAATGAATGCTGAGCATTTACATAGTATACTAAAAGTGTTTTATATTGTGAAAAACCATTCACGTTTTATGCAAATACATCGAGCGCCGAGCGAAAACTAGAAAGTCAACGCACACGCACGCACGAACGTACAGACGTACCTAACCTGTGTATGTGTACAGCGTTTCATAATTCAAAGCATGCTGTGGATTGTAGACAAACAGGTGCATTAATTTAATCTATAAATATTAAATTCTCTTTGGAATCTTTATAAGGAAAAAGTTCATAGAAAAAAAGAAAACGTACCGTATCAGCGTCTTCAACAAAACCAGACTCCCACAACATGTTCTCGTATAAACAGTACGTTACACGTCACTTTAGCAAACGGTTGAGTGTTTGGCGAAAAAATATTTTAGTATTTCAATGTAAACAATTTAGTTCATGTCCGCAATTGTTTACAGTCAGAATTCGCATCCCGTGACGTCGAGAGAGGGCACTAGGAAACTTAAGCGTGCGCGCGACTGTAGCCGTAGCGGAGTCTCGGAGCCGTATGCGCTAGCGCTGACGGCCGAATGATCGCGAACCCCTCCGGACGCCACCGAAGTTGTCCGACCGCGTCGACCTACTTAGCTCTACTTCGAAACGCCAAGTGGTCGAGTAGTTTTTTCTTGCATTTTCCGATTGAATTCAAGGTACCTTTATTCCTGTTGCAAAAAACATATTTAAGTTGATTTCCTTTCTACCTTTCGTACTTTATTAAGATGGCTACTTAAATTTTTTATCTACTCAATGTAACGTGTTCTGAACGGGAGGTGTTATAATAAGCTTTATAAAAGTATCCAACTTTGCCAAAGTACCTACAACGTATTCAATTTTCTTTCTAAAAGTATTTTTTTATTTTACGACTATGTACTAAAACAAGCTTTCATTTCATTCGCAGATTATAAACAAGTCTGTTACATATTCGCCGACAATTAACACATGCACACCTATATAATTTACATAATAGAGTGGTAGATAATACGACTAAGGACCACTCGTTGATGTCTTTTGTATGATGTATATTTTGCTCTGGTCTATTCACATTTATGTACATGTGTATATAGGTACTATTATATGTATATAAATTTACCTATGATGTGTATCCCGAGGCCTGTTTCATTCGAAAGTCACATTCACGTCCATAACGAAATGTCAAATCCTATCATTAACTTACCAATAAATTAATCATCATGTAAATTACACTTTTGCATGCTGTTTATTATATGTGAAACAAGATTGTATTGGCACTGTTTTTTTGTTTGTTACACCTACACCTGACACCACTATTTAAGAAAACTTTTTTGTACCAACATACCAAGTGACTGGACAAGTCATGCGCCTGGTATAAAGTTAAATAACCGAATTGTTACTATTATATTCGGTTGGCTAAAAATCCTGTGAAAAGCAATAAAAAATATAAACATCAAACTTTAATCAATTATATGTATATTGGCCATGTTGATCTACAGCCTTTTGTAATTTTAGAATTTCCTTTTCGTAAAACTTCCTGTCTTATCAAATACAGCTCCAAGAGTTTTTGATGGTCTCTTTGTTATAAAAGTCGTGTCCATTCAAAGAATTTTGTAGAGGCCGAAGCAAGTGAAAATCTGAAGGGGCGTGTTTTAGCGGCTTTATAAAAATGTGTGTTGTTTGGCATTATCACGATAAAATAGATTTACCAGTTCTGGGAGATTTTCATGAATTATAAACTTAAAACTCTCTCGCCTATTCTTTAAATGCACGCTAAAATATTATTTTTCAAATGACATTTTTCATAACAGACAAATCGAGCCATTACCGCCGACTTAAGGTAAGCGACAAAAAAAAAATTACAGGAGAGGGTTTTTTTATATATTTCTACTTTTGATGTGATTAGTACTAAATTGAATTTTAATATATAATAATGATTTCGTCGCGTAAACAAGTCTGCTGTCCGCGAGCACGTCATGGATAAATCTACACATACAATGAAATTTGACAAAGCCCAGGTCCTTGCAAAAGCAGTCCGTTATATACCCAGGATGCTGCGAGAGGCCATTAAAAATAAAAAAAATTCGAAGAATGATTAAATTGAATTGGAAGATTATTTCTTCGTACCATCAGTATGGGATCCAGTATTTCCTGTGATGAAAAATCCCAAACAAACATAAGACGGCAGTACCAATTAATATGTTTTAATTTATTCTAATTTCCATTATTACTTAATAATAAATTTAACTTAGTAAAAAATCATATTGTTACAATAAAATAATTTGTAAAATAATGTAAATTGGATTTTTTTTTCTGTAAAATTAAAAATAAGGTATTTATTTAATCACTTTTGTAACTATAGTGAAAAAATAGTGTTGTTTGCATTAATATTAGACATAACTCGTTGATGACTGTACCACCTCAGTTAACCGTGACTGTGGGAACTGTAAAGAGCCCGAAACGTTGTTGGTTTGTTTGAAAAACAAATATATGCGATTTAAATCCGGAAAAAAATTGTTTCATTTCCTATGTGTAACAATCGCGAAAACCTAAGAACTCGATAATAATGATTTTTTAACCGGTTGTGTAACAGCCAAAATTATTTTTAAAACAATGGCGCCTTTTTTGGCGCTTACAATATTTTTGCTATCTCTGTCTAAGATTATTGAGGCTTTCATACCGACGCTTCAAAGGCAAAATGGGATAAGCGACACTTTTGGTCATATTGAGTTATGTGTACCGTTGGAATCAGCTAATGTTTCTGATTCCAGTGTCCAGTTTAGTAGCGGTAGAGCTCCTTGTAAAAGAGTTCATCCAGGATAGTAATACCACCTTACCTATTTCTGCCGCCAAGCAGTAATATCAGCATTACTGTATTACGGTTTAGAAGGGTAAGGGTGCTGGTGAAATTACAGGCACTTGGGACTTGTCAACTTATGTTTCAGGGTGACGGCCGCAATGGCAGCGCCTTTCTTATCTTTGCGATTTAAAGCTCTGAGTAACTGCAACTGTTATGGATAGGCGTCTAGCTTACCATCAGGTGCACGACTTGTTCGTCCCGTCACTTAATATAATTTAAAAAATCCAACGATATATACATATAACTCAATATGATCCAAAAGTGTCGCTTATCACATTTTGCCTTTCAAGAGTCGAGATGTTTAAGTCAACAATTGCAATTAAAAATATGCAGCAAGATGCAACGTTTTTTGCCACCTTGCTTAATGTTTGTAGTAAAGGACGAAATTGCGATATGCACTATGTTGGTTGCGATAATAAGCTGGGTCGCTTACGTCATGATTTTTTAACATTGATTCTATCGTTTACACTAAAATATAAAAAAAAAACTGTTGAGCCAACGATAAACTTAGTTTTTGCTATAATTTCTATTTTATTTGATTTTGGCGAGAAATGTAACATTTAAAAAGTCCTTATGATGACAAAAACCGTACCGGACTTTCTGGTCAACCCATAATTATTAAATAGTGGTGGTAACCTAGAAGGAGAGCAGCAGTAGAGCTTCTTGTGAAAGAGTTCGTAAAGGGAAATACGGCCACCTAATTTATTTCTGCCGCCAAGCAGTAATGTGACCATTACTGCATTTCTGTTTTGCTAGTGAAATTATAGGCACATGGGACTTTTGAACTTGTCTCAGGATGACGGGCGCAGTGGTGGCCACAAAGATCTTTGCGATTAAACCGCAACTGTCTACTTAAGTTCTACTTAAGTTTTAATTATAGTGACCCTCTCTATCAACCTCTTGGTTACGCGAGGGCACTATAACCTGTGTAAGTACAGGGACCTTATAACTTCAGGTCCTAACCCCGGAACAGCCTGTGGACAAGGTTGTAACAGACCATCGTCACAGATTTCATCCGGATCTCAATGATCTTGTGCTTCAGGTAAGCAGTCCCGGATGCACGTACAGCACCGTCCCTATGTCCAGAGCTGTTGGCACGCTGACTTCTCATTGTGCATTGCACAACTACAATTGCCATACTGGCTTTTACCTATGCTTAATTGGTATTAATTTGGATGCTTTACTATCCAAATTAATACTCTTGATAAGAAATTTGAAATAAATAAACAGTTTTGTCATCTCTTGAATAATCTTATATAAAGTCTTTGTAAGATACGAGATTGAGAATAAAAAGCATCGATTTGCTTGAAAACGCAATGCGTTCTCAGCACTAATTTTCTTTAGAACTCATACCAACTTCTTATATTCAATGGAATAACTACTAGTACTAGCTTTTTCGATTCGATTCTTCGTGGGTCTAACGTCGTTAGTTGATCATTCATTGACGTATTGCTGCATGCCTTACTACGGGCCTCAGTAGGTCATGAATTCAGGAAGTAGAATGATTGTGTAATATGTTTAGATTAATAAGCATAACAATAAATTCAAAGACATCTAACAGGTACTCTACACGGAACCTTCAGTTCATTTGAATAGTACGCACTACAATTCTAAGAAAATACTACAATGACCCCGTCAAATTTGATCGATCGAGTTAATGCCCAAGGCTATCCCTTACCACTGTATTGGTATATAGAGATTAATAAGCTATTATACTTTTTCCATAAAATAATGTTTGCATGTTTGTATTTTTTCGTATAATTTAAAATAGTCATGAAGGTGTTGTCGACAGTTTTATCGACTGATTGTGAAATGAGATACAGATTTTCAGAAACAAATGAGTAGTAAATGTCATAACGTTCGAACGATTATTGAATTACCGCCTTCTTTCTTCTTATTTTGATAATTGGTATCGAAAACAATTCCTGAAGTATGACGTGTATTATTATTGTACAGTTCCTAAAATTCAATTTGTTTTGGAATGAAACTAGTTCGGCCATTATAGTGTAAGCGTAATCCATATTCAGTTGATAGTCGAGAGAATAATTTATTGACTGCAATTAGTAGCTGCTAGCAAGCTGGCAACCCTTTTGTGCACGAAACTGGAATTTTACTTCATCTTGGATAAAAATAGTATAAAAAAAAATGTGGCGGCGTACGTGTGTAGTGGACACATTATACATGTAAATTTCGGCACAGTAATTCAAGAAGAAAAGGTCTTTGGGCTGCAAAATTCAATATCATACTGTTTAAAAACATTACACCATAAAATGAAGAAAATTTATTTTGATTATAGCCCATGTTTGACAACGCCGTTGACTTTAATTACAACATTGGATTAGTATATTGTATTACTTTTATCTTTTACAATTACGTCAATTAAACGTTGTTTAAAAGATTTATTTCCAAACACCAATAATATACATGTAAAATCTTGACAGTTCTTTTCACGTCAATGACCATGTTTCATTTTTATATTTTTCATCCCAATATTCCCATTATGTAGGTAGTAGTATTTGGTATTCAGGTGATTCCGCAAAACCACCAGAATACACGTACAGTCACATTCACCAAGCCACCTTCTTAGTGGCTTGGTGAATGATATGTATTGAAGGAGGCCCACATCATCCTGCAAGACAAATTATATAAGCATTGAGGTGGATATTTGATTTAATGGTAGGTATACTGCTTGGAAA